CTTTTATTTCCTTCTATTGACAATTATTTGACACCTTCCTATTCACACAGTGTAATTAATGGAAAGTAGAATAAAGAAATTAAGTTGTCATAATTAAAGATCAGAGGAAACGCTACTCAGTCCTCTAAGTGAGACTTTAAATTTAGATTATTAGAACTGGCTGCTGGTCTTTTGTCTGGGAAATTTGTTTTGCTCAGTAGTTTTGCATCTATTCAAATGAATGTTGTTGTTGCTTTTATTTTCCTAATACAGGAAGTAGTAACTCCCATTATTCTATTAAGCTGTTTCCTTTCCAAGACGCTTTTGCAAGCTGGGTCTGCTTATTTCCTCTGCCATGATGGTCTTACATATTGTGTGTGTGCTTTCCAAAGCCATTTAAGCCTTGATGGAAACTATTAGCATGTTGGGGCAGCCCAAACAGAGCAAGTTACTTAGTCTTAGAACATTCTTTCCTCTGCAAAGAAGCTTTCTGTCTTGTATGATGTTGTGTGCTGCTAATACCAGTGATTTTCACAAGCGGTTTTAATGATGGACTGAGGGGGTTGAGGGTTTAGAGACAATGCTTTGGAGTCCTCATTTCTGGACGTGAATTCAGACGTGGCTTCTTCAGCCAGCATTTGGAAACAGTTCCATCGGATGCCGCCCCATCTGCATGCGGCCTGCCACACCTGACTTTCCCTCACTAGGCCTGAGCAGGTGTTCATGTCACATGAAAAATGCTGTCACCCCTGACTTCCACGAATGCTGTTGAGTTAAATGTTTTCAGCTGAGCGGTGGACTTCAAACTGATCTGACAATTCACCTCAACCCTCTCGCCCAGGTTGAGGCTTTGTAGACAAACTAGGGAGAGGATTCATGCGCCCTACAAATCTAACAGTCACACCCAGGAACTAATTTTCGGGGTGGAAAGCTACATGATCTGATCTGTCCTCCATGATCTTTCTGAGTTCCCTAACTCAGCCTCTTTATATCTTCAATGTGTACCATCTTTAGAGAGAAACAAGTTCCATATGTGGTGTTACTTTATTCCTTGCTCTAGAGAAGAGCATTTAGCTTAGCTTGATCTAAAAACTCCCTCAAGAGATGCCCTTTGAAAATGTTCTAAAATTAAACATTTTGACAGAAAAAAATGGAAATTATAAAAAATGATAGATGATTTGCAAAATATCAAATCTTAAGACAAACTTTTAAAACAAGTACTTCTTCTGTATTAAATACTTCCCGATATATTATCTGCTTTTACTATAATAACAATAAATATTTCCATTAATAAATACTAGTATTGTGAAGACTTTAAAAAGAGAAAATGCTCTAAAATTGATTATGGTGACCATTGTGCAATTTTGTGAACATGCTATACATTATTCACTTATACACCTTAAAAATATCCAAATTCTGGGGTTTGTGATCTATATTTTGGTTAAGCTCTTTTGGGCGCACAAAAGAGTCCTTGGTTCAAAATTCTAATATTTAATAAACAAGCTCACATGCTCATAATAATTTTGCTTGTGGTTTTATAAACCTTTCATATTATTCCCCTGGGTCTTTACATATCCTAGCTAAAGAGAACTAATTTTTTTTTCATTTAACCTTTTGCACATTAATTAATCAACCAACAAGTATATATTTAGCACCTCTCTCAAACTTCAGAAGCCAAATTGTTATAGGGACAATGGTGAGTAGGAGGAGAGGCACAATTGTCACAGGAATTATTAATAATAAATTAAAGTAGCAATTGGAACTGCAGCCATTCTGTTGGGGAAGCACAATAGTGTCTTAACTGTGATTGTGGTGACAGGGCGCCAACAATTGAGTCCCTGCTAATGGCCCAACAGGGGAAGGGGTTGAAAAGAAGGAATGAGTGGTTTACATTACAAAGGGATTGTCTGAGAGCTGCTCAAGTGTGGTCAGGAGGGGAGGTCAGGCTAGAGACAGAAGGGATGATAACCGTGGAGCTGTCAAGGGCATCTCAGGGGTTTAAGCAAGGGCTGTGGCAGCTCGAAGCAGCCGGCTGAGGCAGACATGTCCTGGCCCTGCCTAGCGTTGATTGATAAAAAGGAAACACAATGAGAAGATAATTGAGCAAACCAGGAGGCCTGGGCAAGTGTCACAGAATCTGAAAGTGAGTCCTGGGAGGCATCAGAACCTTGGCTGAAAATATTCCTGGCTTTGCTGTGACCAGAGTTGGACCATTCTGTGGGGAATAAAACTGCTGTAAAGGGTGAATGTTTGTGTGAATAAAATGCTGTGATTGGCAGATCTATTGAAAAGAGCGCGTTCTTGACGTCTGATCAACTCCTGCAACTGCACATTTCCAGAATGTGTGTGTGTGTGTGTGTGTGTGTGTGTGTGCAACCTCACTTTTACCGGTTGCTGGAGTAGATAAAAAAATCATGACTGTCCAGACTGAAGTTCATACTCACAGTCTTATTTGTTCCAACACTGTCCTTTGTAGCATTTTTCCCTCTGGTCTAGGCTGCAGCAAAGGATCATGGGTTGCATTTAGTTATTCTTTATAGAGAGACACATCGAGCAGAAGAATATGATGAAACGAATGGGGCAAATGTTAAATATTGATGACTCTGAGTAAAGGAATGTCTCGCTGTGTGACCCTGCCGGCCTCTTCATCCTGGTCTCATAACACTTGTACCCTTGCCAACTACATCACAACCCCAGAGGCAGCCTTTTTGTTCCTTAAACAAGCGAAAGCCATTCCCACCTTTGGACCTTTGCATTGGGGGGCCCTCTCTTATCCCTGAGCTGCACAGGACTGTCTCCTTGTCATTGAGCTCTCAGTTGAAATGTCTCTTCCAAGAGAGAACAACCCTGCTCCCTGAAGTAATGATCCAGTCACTTTCTAGTCCTCTCTTTTAATTATCTGCCTACGCCTATTACTAGCTGAGAATTCTGTCTTCACTAGTGCATCCAGAACAGCACCTGGCACTTGGTAGGTGCTCACCAACCAGCTATTGAATGGATGTGCTAATTTAAATGTCCAGAAGGAGGGCATCATTAAAAATGATAGTGATGCCTTATAGATGGGCATTATGCAAGAAAATGCTTCAGAACTCCAATCAGAGGACAAATGCTCAGAAAACCTTGATCCTATGTTACAATATAGGTGAATAAATGCAGAGAGATATAATCATCTTACATTCTCCACCATAATAAACGTTATTTATTATGAATACTTACACTGATTATTTTGGTTAAGAGGACCTCTACTCTTCTACAAAATATATAGATAACAATGATTCCAATATCTAAGTAGGATGAGTACAAAAAAAAAAAAGGAAATGTCTAAAAAATAACAACTCATCATTTTAAAGGAATGAAATATGAGTAATTTTTATTTTCTGTATTTTTCAAACTTTTTGCATATGGATTTTATTATTTTTCTAATTTAAAAAAATATTTTAAGAGTAAACAATACAAGATAGATACGGTCAGGTATTAATAAGACACTAAATGCAGATTGGAATCAGAAGGACTCTTGAATTTGGCATGCTTAGTGAAGCTTTATGGAAAATAGTAGTCATCGATCTGGGCTTTGAAAAGACTCATAGGACTTTTGAGGGAGGAGACCCGAAGAGGAACAAAAATAGTAAGGGAGAAACCAGCCGACTGTGGTGACAGGAGGAGACAGGACTAATCAAATGGAAAGCTGGAATTGGGTTGGAGAGTGTGGATAGTGGGATTCCAGCTGAGAGAGGAAGATAGGGTCACATTTTAGAAGATCTTTAAAATCAGGTAGAGATTTTTAGATTAGAAGTAAAAATAAATTAGGAACTATTGTAAGTTCTTGCAGATAAGGGTTAACAGGAAGGCTTGAGTGTTTGGGGAAAATTTCTCTGTGCAGGGCATAAAACGGAGCTGGCAGTTAGCAGGATATAGCACCAACATCCATCTGGTGTCCATGGCAGACTCCAGAATCAGTCACAGCTCTGCTCTGCCTGGACACAGCCTTAGAAGCCTCTCCACCCAGGCTTCCTGTCAGCCATTACTAATTCATCTGCATTGGCTGTGAAACTTGCCTGAACCTTCTGTGATTGTCACACTGGAGATGTGAACCATAGGAAGGAGAAAAACAAGAGAGATGAAGGCCCAAAGAATTAAGACATTATATTCTAGGAGTGTAAGAAGGCTAAGCATCTCGAGATGTTTCTTTTGTATTCATAGGTCTGTATTTTAATTAGGGCCAGAAATAGAGATCTTTTTGTATAAGTCATTACTCCGTTGTTAAAGAAATGTTTTGCTTTTTCTTTCCCACTCCTTTGTCACTAGTATACAATCTGTGGGCCCTTGCTTTAAAAAAAAAAAAAAAGAGAATCGTTCCTTAAATATTTAATGAACCTTGAAAACAGTAACTTTGACAAATGATGTGAAAAAAAAAAGACTCACCCATTTAATCTACAAAGATTTGGGCCCACCTGCTCTGTCCATTTGTGGGAGTTAAGTTGTCAGAATATGTTTAGACACTATTTGGGGGTTTTTTAAAAAAAGGTTTTGTTTTCTCTATTTTTAACACAGTTTTTAGATTACAAAATAGCAAACAAAATTAAAAATAAAATGAAGTTGTCTCATCTTTGGTAGCAGTGGTAGAGGAAGTTTCGACTCTGTCAGTGTGTGGGCTGAAGGAGAACAGAATGTTTATCTTAGCTGCATGTCGAAGTTGGAAAATAAAGTTAGCAATAGCCAAAAGGCCTTCTTTTGAATAACTTATCACAAAAGGGAAAACATGAATCTAGTGGCAAATCAACTCTCCTTTAAAATTGCTTGCATTGGGCCTGGAAATATTGTTACTTTGCCATATAAAATTTCACTTCTGTCCACTTGATTGGTTCATGGTAACCTCTCAGTACCTTGATTCAAATGTTGGGTCTCAGGGACCAATGGCAATTGGTTTTTATTGATGACTTTTTGTTCTTTTTTCTTTTTTCCTTTCTTCTTTTTTTCTTCCCCCTCTTTTTCTTTGTCTTTATCTATGGCTCGTGATCCAGAGCTTACAAGACCCTATGAAAAAACTAGTCGAGAAAGAAGAAAAGAAGAAGATGGCCCAGCAGGAAAGCACAGAAGCAGCAGAGCAGGAGCCGAGTCAGTAAGTCAAGTCAGCCCTCCGTCTCCTGAGGTCTTTCTTCCCACGGGTGTGGGCGACACAATCTTGTCCACACAGTCCTGACGGGGGTCTCAGCCATGTAGCTTCCTCACTTCTTTACCTTGAGGACAAGCTCCCTCAGCCCAAGTTCCTGCTAGACCTGCCTCACTTGTCCCATTTAGAGACCCATTTCTGGGGTCATCAGAAGGAGCACACTTGTAAGGAGTTGATTGGGACAAGAAAGAGCAAATGTCCACATACTGTCTGGCTCCCTGTCTTGTGGCCTCAGCCTCAGCTTCATGTTCTTTCTGGCTTCTGTACCCTATCTGGTCCCATGGTCACCACTGTTCACAAGATGCTATGATGGAGACCCCCCTACACACACACACTGCCTGGGGCCCCGATGGCTTTTCTCCCATTGAAGCTGATGATGTAGGAGATTGCCTTAGGAATGCACATAGCATCGCCCTACAAAAGTGTTGGGTTGTGACATTTTGTTTTCACTGCTCAAACTTTCAGTTTTCTCCTCTGTGAAGCGGAGAGCAGCTTCCTGTGCAGGAAGTGAGGGCCCATCCCATCTATTACCTCTTCACAAGCAAGGCGCCGCCTGTTGTTATAAATACCCAGATGAACTTTTCAACATAGATGGCTCACCTATCCCACACAGTGAGGAGGTTTAGATGTGACTGATCCCACACAGTGAGGAGGTTTAGATGTGACTCCATGTCATTTTCTATGGAGATATAGCAGCCTTCAGGAATGCAGTTAATCTCTGAACTGGCTGACCCAGGAAAGCGAAGTAGATGACATTGCCTCTATCCACTGTTCTTTACACACACACACACACACACACACACGCGCGCGCGCGCGTGATTTAGGTGACAACTTTATGGCAAAATGGGATTATATTTTTTACTCCATCTCTGAATATAATTTCAAACATATTTTTGTATCCTATAGAATTATTTGCTGTCCTTATAAAAAAAAAGAAAAAAAATTTGCTGCCAATATTAGCTCTTTTTAATTTCAAAACAAATACTAGAAAATTTCTGAGGTGCAAAACAAAGACAAATTTCAATTTTTCATCATAAAACAGATGTAGAATATGATCTAGATCTAGTCCAATTGACATTTTAGGGGAAACCTATTCCTGGTAAGGGTAATAATGGTAGCTACTGTTTGGTGAGCACCTACTACATGCTAGGCATAGTGCCAACTGCTTTATTTGTTATTCATTCTCATATTAATCCTCCAGGTAGGCCTTTCCCTGATGTGTATAGTAGGGAGATGAGGCTGAAAGAGGCTAAGGGACTGCCCTCTGCCCCTTGTGAAATAAAAGACAGAGCCCAGAGCAAATCTTAGCACTTTCTTTTCTCCATATAAGTTAATGCAATAAAAATAAAGCACTAGCCATTATTCAGAATAGAACTACTACCTAGTATTTTTTTATTCCTTTTAATTAATTTCAGGTTTCTCAAAAATGATTGGAAATTTAATAAGAATTTTTTTTCAGAAATAGCAGGTAAAAGTGAACCACAGTGCTAAGAGGATCATTTGGAGGAACCAAAATGGTCTCAGGACTGTAACGTGTCTGTCCTTAAAGACACTGGAAGAGTTTGAGTAGTTGCCTGTCCACCTGGATTTAGAGTGGTGCTGTTGTGAGCCTTCTGTGGTCTGGCTCATCTCCTGAGGTGACCTCTTCATAACACCAGGAATCAGAATAAACCACTGCTGGGCCATCAGTTTTTTTTTTTTTGTTTTTTTTTTTACTGTTTTAAAAGTAATAATTGTATGTATCTCTCTTAGTCATCCCTAATTACCCTCTAGATATTTACAGAAAATGTGCCTTATTAGGAAACCAAACTCATAAATTAAGATGTTACAGAATGGAAAACAAAGCCAGCAACATTTATTTCTCCTTTAGAAAATATACAGCATATAAATGACTGTGTGTGTGTGTGTGTGTGTGTGTGTGTGTGTGTGTGTGTGTGTGTTAGTTATATGACACCTATTACTTTAGGACATCAACAATAATTGAGGTAAAAGATATTGTACTGAAAATCTGGCTGTATCATAACTATAATATTTGCCAGACTTGATGACTGAAAAAAACAACAACTTTTTTTTTTCAATTTTAAGGTTAATTTCATTAGAGGATGAAAACCAACACAAGGAATCCTGCAGTTTTAAGAGTAAGTATTGATTTTCATTTAGAATTGCTTCTGAAACACTACCTAATGCTCAACTGCCAACTCATTTTCTTTTGGGGGGAGCTCCCTCTAGGCCTTTCTTCATTCCCAATTGAAAAAAGATTATATGGATTAGCTTCCTGCTATTTCAGGATTTTTTTTTTTTTTTTTGGTGGGGGAATGCTTGGGATTGAACCCAGGGGTACTTTACCACTGTGTTACAGTTCCCCAGTCCTTTTTATTTATTTTGAGACAGGACCTGGCTAAGTTACTGAAGCTGGCCTTGAACTTGTCATCCTCCCATCTCAGCTGCCTGAGTTGCTAGGCTTATAGGCCTGTGCCATGGCACCCAATGCAGTTTCAGTTTTAAATGTTTAAATATCAATGGTGTCAATCAACTGCATGGCATTACTGAGAGATAGTGTATATTTTGAACCTGAAAATAGTATCCTTGGTCTCTCCAACAGCAGCCCTTCCGAGAAGTAACCACAAATGGGCCTAGCAGAAAGCTCTCTCTTTCCATAGAAGACAATATGATTATGATATTGCCTTTGTTTGTTCAAACTGTCGTGTGGGTGCAGAGATAGTTTTAGCAGGGTCACATTACTACGTGGGGAGGGTTTGTATGTGGGTGTTGGCCATTATTAGGGACAGATAGGGAGAGCCCCGACTCTGCTCTGTTAGGCAGGTCTTCAGGCTGCCTGTTGTGAGTGGCACCAGCTCCCTTGGGTTAGGGAACAGGGTCAGAGCTTTGGGAGGTGACACAATGAACAGAAAAAAGCCTCCAGCTTCTTCTGTCTCCTACATTCCTGCCAGCCTTCGTTGGCTCTTCACCTCATGAAGGCGTAGAGGGGAAAATCACAGTAGAACTAAGGTGATGTAAGACTGAGCCTTAAAACAAGGACTCAAAAGCCTCAGAGCTACAGGGGAAGGTTGTACAAGTTTTATGAAGAGAACTGAAATCACCGGATCCTGTGCTATGGCAGCCTATCCAGGAGGTGGCAAAGCAGATTCTAGAACTTTCCCTCTGTTTCATTCTTCTCCTTCTTCCTCTCTTTTCTCTCTGTCTTCCTTCAACTTTTCCAATCACTTGCCTCAACTATATTTTTCTTCCCCCGCTTCACACCTTCATCTGCCTTTCAACAGATTTAAAAAAAAAAAAAAAAAGAAAGAAAAATATCAAAAAACAAGGGCAGCCCACTGTTGGTCTCCAGTGCCTGGCTTCCTGTCAACTGCTCGTGCGTGTGAGCCTTCACGTACTCAGAACTCACAGACTGCTTTGTGTGTGTGGCAGCTGTGTACAGGGATCTGCCTCTGTGCCAGGCACAGCACTGGGCTCCAGGCAGACCGTGGTGTAACACACATAATCAGGCCCCTCCAGGATGGGGCTTACAGTCAAAAGGGGAAGCAGATGGTAGCCTAATAATCACACAACCGGGCAACTACAACTTTGGTAAGAGCTACAAAGGAAAACTGCAGGGCTCTGGGCACATAACAAAGTTGCCTCACCTATTTGAGGGGATCAGGGACACATCAAAGCCAACTACGATTGCAAGACTTGTCCAAGCAAAAGAAACAGCCCAGGCAAAGGCTATGCTCCAGGAAGGACCACGCAAAGTCAGAAGAATGATATTCTAGACCCTGAGAGGGGGCAGCAAACGGTGGAGAGGCTGGGCCTGACCTCCCTGGCCATGGAAGGGCTCTCTGTCTGTATCGATCCAAGCTTTCCAGCCTCAGTGACCCTCAGTGGACCTACAGCATGCATTATTAATGTTGTGGGACTCGAGGTCATAGAATAGGATAAACTTAGTTCTGTGGTAAACTGTAACTCCAGTTTATTATATTTGTATGCAAGTTAAAAAATCTATACAAATTATGTATTCATACAATATGTGACTATACATATTGTATGAATATATAATATGCAAATATAGAATATGCAAATCTTCTTATTCCTTGTACAGTATAATTGCATGTGGTATTTGCATAATATTTTGAGACTGCAAATGTCTGTCACCTTGTTTATATATACACAGGATGGAATTCATTACAATGAAGTGGCATCTGCCTTGTATTTTGTGACCTGCAGAAAGTCTAATGAACATATGGGCAAACTGAGTTCTAAGGTGGTTCTATTACATGTGCACGGGCACACACACATACACACAATTTATTGTTTAGAGCAGTTTTTGGTTCACAGCAAAATTGAACACAAAGTACAGAGATTTCCCATTTGCCCCTGTCCCCACATAAGCAGAGCTTCTCCAACTGTCGAAGTCCTACACCAAAGAAGTGTTTGTTATAATCAATAACTCCACATTGTTTTACATTTTATGGATATTAAAAACATAAAAGGACATGTATCTACCCTTACAGTATTATACAAAATATTGTCACTGCCCTAAAAATCCAATGTTCCACCCATTCATCTCACCCTCTGCCACGCTCTTGGCAACCACTGACCTTTTTAGTGACTCCATGTTTTGACTTTTCCAGAATGTCATATTGTGGAACTTACACAGTGTGCAGCCTTTTCAAATGGGCTTCTTTCACTTAACGATCTGCCTTTTTATCTTATCCAGGCCCATGTGGCTAAAGTTCATTGGCAACATCAAGTAACAGCCAGTTAACTTAAGTCACACATTTGTCCACGGAAGGAGAATTGTTAGGCCTGTGTCATATCATTTTGAGGGTTATCCACCAAACAAAGCAGAGGTTTAGGATTAATTCTACATTCATTGAGAGCCAACAACTGAAATAAAACATAATCTGAGGACCCCTGTTTCTGCATGAGTGAGTTTATGGGTGCTATTTCTTCCTGAAGCTGTGCATTTGCCAATACTGCTGTCAACCATGCATGCACACAACATTTTGAGTTGGTGATGACCAGTTGCATATGTTTGCTTACAGGTGAAGAAGGAAAAAGTATTTTATCTGCCTTAGACAAAAGCTCCACACATAATGCATGTTCAGGTAATCTAGATTAAGGAAAATGTAATCATTTTACTCAGATTCCTTATAAAATGACACTAACTCATAATTTTTCTTTCCCCTCCTCTGAAGGACCTCTGGATGAATTATTAGACATGAAACCTGAGGAAGGTGGTAAGATTTATGCAGTTCTTTGAGGCTGTGATTTGTTTAAGTTTTAGTTCCTTTTTTATATGCAAGAAAATATAATATTTATCTTTTTATGCACTCCAAAGCAAAAATTTTTAGGTGACAGTCTTTATAAATGACCTTAAATATGCCCAAACACATATTAGTTTGTGCTGAGCTGCCATTGCTACTATAGTCAATTTCATAATGTTCAAACTACTAAAGCTAAAAGTTATATCAAAAGTCACATACTGTCAGAGAAAACAGTGGCTATGGATTATGGTTCTACCATAAATGGCCTGTGTGGCCTTAAATAATTTGCTTCATATTTAAACTCTTTACTAAGCCTCAGTTGTTCTCATTTGTAAATGGAACTGATAGCAACAATCTTGCTGGATTACTGTCAGGATTGGAGCTCAGGTTTGTGAAGGGGTAGTTCATGGTCACTGATACAGAACATTCTTGATGTTGAAACAGTGGGACGAGGGGTTTTGTATAGGGCTTTGCTTTGCTGCCTTTCCATTGAAACCTCCAATGAACACAGGAACAAACTGAGTTTTAAGGCTGTTCTAGTTCATGTGCACACACATGCATGCATGCACAGTTTTTATTCCCAGCAAAATCGGATAGAGATTTCCCAAGTTCCCCTGCCCCCACCTAAGCATAGCCTCTCCCACTGTCAACTTCCTGCCCTGGAGTGTGTGTTTGTTATGATCAGTGAACCCACATTGACACGTCTTTATCACCCAAAGTCCACAGGTTGCATAGGGTTCACTCTTGCTGAAATACATTTTACAGATATTAAAAACATCAATGGACACATAATATTACCATTATAATATTATAGAAAACATTTTCACTACCATAAAAAATGTAGAGGGAGAGTTTGCCTAGCTAAGTCTGACTCCCAGGTTGACCAGCCTGAAAATCCCTTACTGTATAAATCCTCAGGAGAGAATGTAGAACCATGGATTCATATGTGACTCTCCAGGGCCGAGTGATCCCACAAAATTGAGTGTGCTTAGTTTAATCATAGCCTTTGTTTTCCATCTCACCAAGGGTTTCCTTTTAATGATTTACCCAGGTTCGAAAATATTCCTGAGATTCGGAGTCAAACATCAGAGCATCTTTGTCTTGGTGACTGGGACACAGTCTGCCCTGGTCATGCAGGTTTTTTACAGGGTTGAAATAGGCCAGAGTCATCCAGTGGGCCTCAGTTAACTGGGGTGGATGACTCAACTCACTCTGAGCTTGATGTGGATTTAATTCACAAAGTGTGAGAGGAAGGAAGTCTCTGGGAAACAGAGGACATTGATGAAAGATTTTTCAAAGGTGAAAAGCCAGGCTGGGGTTAGGGCTCAGCGGTAGAGCGCTCGCCTAGCACATGCGAGGCACTAGGTTTGATCCTCAGCACCACCAAAAATAAAATAAAGGTATTGTGTCCAACCACAACTGAAAAACAAAAATATTTTTTTTAAAAAGGTGAAAAGCCACTATAGCTCTGGTGTTACGTTTCCAGGGCTTGGTGTGCATAAACCTGAGAACAGAAGTCTGTTTTCTTATTATCTTACTGCAGGCAACATATTGTGCAATATTTTTTGAATGTCTGTGCATATTTAATCAATATGACTAGTCATTTGTAAATGCTGATATTATATCATGTAATGAAATTAATAGGTAAAGAGTGCAGATTACCATACATGCTTCCGTGTTTGTAAAAATGTCCTCTTCTTGGCTTAAAAGTAGAATATTTTGGTGGAATGAAGGTGTCCTTTACAAGTTATTATTATTATTTTTTGGACAGGGATATATTTTAACCTTACCAAAATAATATAAAGAGAACAGCAAGCTCTAGATACCCACCACCCAGTTTCACTTAACAAATGTATTTATAATCACACATAACTTCAGCTTGTTTTGATAGACTGACATTCCTCCCAATCTCAACATTTTGTTTATGTCATTTGTTCTTTGACTTTATTCTTACCCTATATAAATTTGTTATTTTAATAGATTAAACTTTTGAATAGGTAGCATATTCACATTAATATTAAATGAAAATACTAATAAAAATGGTATTAAAAACACTCGCTCCCATTCCTATTCCCCACCCCACCCCCATTCCAATACTCCCAACCCTGGCACATCCTGCCAGTATTTTCTGTACTCAGACACAGTAATCATGACGCTACATCCTCATATTTTCCCCCTTTCTTACAAAAATTGGTTCTTGGCTTTGGGTTTTGGATTTTTTTAGAAAACTTGACAGTAATTCTATAACCCTAACCCACTATCCAGCATTTCTTCATAGAATTAAATCAAAATGTTTCTGCCTGAGATATATACTTACTTTTGTAAGTCTTTGTGTGTGCCAAAAGAGAGATTGCAGTAAGCTGGGTATCCTCCTACTCAAAACAGCCTCCAAACCTCATTGGTTTACAGTTACCATGTTTGTTAGTTTTGTAGAATAGAAACTCATATCCTTTTGGGGGACAAACAGTGTAATTCTAAAGATGCAAATACAAACATGCTCTTCCCTAACATGTGTACTTGTTCTCAGGCAGAAATACTGATTTGCAAATCTTCTAAATTGAACAAAGTGTCACATAACTCCTGCTTCCCCTTTGTCACGCCAGCCCACAAGGCCCTTCTCTAGGCATGAGTTATACGTCCCCACTGTCTCTTCTTGTTGCCAACCCATACGGTGGCATCAGCTTACATATTAATGTGACCACTGGTATAAGTATCTTCTCTCAGTGTTCAGAGAACCTGTGATGGCCAAAGAGAAAAATACTCATTAATTTGTTGGCTTCCACATGTGTGCCCTGTGAAACGCTGCCTGAAGAACCAAACCCTGAATTGAAATACTGATTATAATATGCAAGATATTAAATAGTCAAGAGATAAAAAGAGCTTAATCCAGGAATGGCTGGTTTTATAGGACTCCAGGCTACAAGCTCTAGCACCCTGCTGCTTTGGGGCCGGTTCACTCCCAGTGGTAATTCTGCCAGACATAATGACTAATCTGGGGTACAGTGTTATCAAAAAGCAGACTGCTTATGACAACAACAACGGCTCTCAAAGCGCCACTACCCAGAAAATTACTGTAAGTTAGTGTCCTAATGAAATTTGCTTTCTCCTACTAAATGGTAATGTAATAGGGAAACCATTATTTGACCACAGTTCCTAAAAACGTTTTAAATGAAGAAGAAACTCAGTGACATTTTTGAGATACTTGAAAGTGGCTCTGAAATCACTTTGTGTAATACATGTGAAAATCAGCTCAATTCAGGAATTATATAACATGTAGAAGTATTGGTGTTCCTCAAAGTTTGGCCAAGAGAAATAACTAGCATGTAAATGAACAGAATATATATATATATATATATATATTTTTTTTTTTTTAAAAGACAAGATTTGCATAAATTCAGTTCACCTAAACCTTATCACTTGACCTTCCCTAAAAGGTCCCTCTCTAGGACAAGACTTACCTACTCCATTTAAAACACAATTTAATTGTTCATGTTGGAATAACATATCTATCTCTGTTACTCCCTTGGTTACTACTTGGGATTCTAAACTCTGGTCACCTATCAGAATGACAGTTCATTCAGTCGCTGCCAGAGGTCTGGGTGAGAACCTTTGACGTGTAGTAATCATACCGGTTTCTCAGCGCTTTGCTTCTCCTGAGTCACTTAGAACTGTCTCGTGCAGGCTTCGTATAGTCAGACTAGGGACCTGATTGCTTCCTCACACGCAATAAAGCAAGTACTAAGCTGCTAAGCTCTTTATCTTTCCTCATACACTCGTCCTCCTTCCTGCCTCCCTCCGTCTGTATTCTGGGGTGTTCTGCTGGTTTTGTCCTTTCATGAATAATGACATACTTTAGGTTTGGAGGTTTTTTTTTTTTTTTTTTTTTGAGGTGTTGGTGATGAAACCCAGGGTCTTGCACACACTAGGCAAGTGCTCTATGACTAAGCTATGTCCCCAGCTCAATAATGATAGACTTTTATAATCAAATGCTGTTTGTACTTAATAATCATGTAGGCAATAGTGTTCTACAAAAATTTATCACTATCAAGATTCTATAAAGACTCATCCTAGCCCCACGTGTCTTGTTTCTCACTGAGACTGCTGGGTTGCTAAGATCTAAGACTAAAAATGGAGGAATAGATTGGGGGATCAGAACAAGAACTTTTTTAGTGCCTATTCAGGCCTAGCCCTATGAGACTGTTGTTTCTTTTCTTTTTATTTTTTAGAGTTGGTAAGGATGGTTCCCTCCCTCCCCTTACCTGTTCTTATAGTCTGTGTTGTTGTTGTTGTTGTTGTTGTTGTTGTTGTTGTTTTTAAGCCAGAAGTGACTTTCTAGAAGCAGCAGTCTAGAATTCCAAATTAAGCACAGTTTGTTACCAGAGTCTTGTGTAATGAAGAATATTTTTCTGGTTAGACATTTTTTGTAAGGTGGTTTCCTACCCATCTTCCCCCATTCTCTTTTGGGCGATGTGAGGATGGTGTTGGTGTTTGGGGTTTTCATCGGCAATGCAAGCATGTGGCCTTTAAGATTAGTCATCAGGTTGAGAATGGGGGCCAGGGAGAAACCCAGAGAAGTGACTCTTCCTGTTTCACACACAGATGAAGGTAAAATAAGTGACATTTATCTGTTTGTTTTCCTAGGCTATCGTTTTCAGTCTGTGTTGCTATGTTTCCATCTTCTGTTTTCCTAATTTATGCTGAGGTCATGAAACTCAGTATGACTTCAAAAATAACACCTGTACCAGCTGTCACCGGTTTCCCACACTGAACTCGAGAGCTGCCTCTGTATTTGAGTTCTCAAGAAATAGAGCCCATTGGTTCAGGACCAGTTCTCCTGGGGAATGTTTTCCCAGGGCCTGGGGCTCTTACTTCTGAACCTGGGTCATGTGTGCTGAGGGCCTGACGCGTGGGTCTGCCAGTGCTGTCCTGCCCCAGGGCCTGCATGGTACCCAGCTGCCAGCAGAGTCCTCTGACCTTTGAAATTCTCAGCACTTTACAAAAGCTTGGCAAAAGCTTCTTAGTATCTTTTTTGTATGAGATACTAAATGGGTTTTTAACAAAAGAAAGATACCACAGTGAGAAAATTGACCTTTAAGTCTAGGGTCCATGGTTAGATTATCAGTAACATTATGTGACCTTCAGCAGGTCATCTAACCTGGGTGTCTTCTTCCTCGTTTGTAAAATGAGTTAAAGGAAATGGTTTTTAAGGTCCCTTTTGGATGCAAGAAAAAAAGAGAGAGAGAGAAGGAGAACAGGAAGGGGAAGGAGAAGAAAAATAGAAGAAGGAGGAGAAAGAGGAGGAAAAAGGAAAATATGATTCTTATTGGGAGAAAACATCAGGTCTCACACAGGAAAGCAGGAAAGTGCATTTGAGCAATGGTAAGCAGACTTTTGCCAAATTGGGCTTCCCAGGAGAATGTTGATATACGGCTGAAAGAGTTTTATTAGAGCTTGACTATGGAGGTCCTGAATGCCAGTATTGGGAGTCAAAGGGAACCACTGAAGGTTTTTGAATGAGGGAGTAATCTTACAGTCCTATTGAGCAATGGTGCACAGTAGGAGGCTGCCTCATGGGGCACCAGAAGCCCCTCCAGTGGGCAAAGCAGAAGGTCCCTCTGCCCCAATTTGTCATCAAAATTGAAGGAAGAACATGGAATCAGAGCAGAGATTTGGAGATTTTTAAAGATGAGTTTGGAACCATGAAAATAGATAAGATCTCTGATAGAATTGTAGGGAAGGGAGGCAATGGTTTAGGATGAAGGCTAAGGGCTACCAGGGTAGGAAGAGGCAGCAGAGAAGACTGCCCAAGAGGGCCACCGCACTGGGACTCCCAGGAGATGATCACATTTCCAGAACAAGGCAGCACTGCAAAATGCTAGAGGTCTCAAGGCCTGAAAAACGGAGTTTGGTGGATTGGCCTTTAGGATCTCCTCAGTAACCTTCCAGAGAGTCACTTCAGTGTAAGCATGGGGATGGGAACTTAATTGCCAGCAGCTGAAAAAAAAAAAAAAAATAGAGACACAGTGGAATAAGTGACCATGGAAATGAGAACAGCAGGGATAGAGGTGGCCGACAGCAATATGAAGCCAAATATTGATTATCACTGGCCAGAGGAAAGAAGCCCTGGAGAAGGAAAGGCTAAAGCTACTGAAGTAGCACATTGGTAGGAGCAGGGGAAGCTTCCGGAAGGAGGCGGGGGAGGGCATGGAGAGGGCTAATTTCAGAAGGGCAGAGAGAATGCACAGAGGGTCACAGAGTTGGAGACAGAGAGGTGAGCCTGTGTGTGCGTCATGTCTGTCGGCTTTTATTTGTACAGTAACGTCTGCGGCTAGGTCATCAGATAGGAAAGCAAACGTGGAGAGTGGGAGTCTGCACCAGAGAGAAGGGGGCTCGGAGTGGCATCTGCGGGGCTGGCACCTGGGTGTGGCACGACCTTTGCTTGTCTACAAGACAAAAGCAGGCTGAGACACCACCCAGGAGCAATCCCTGCTTGTCTCCATGGGCGGAAGCTCTGACCCCAGGTGCGGCTCCCACCAGGGCTTCTCTCCGAGAGCTTATCATATCTCTCTGTGTGTCTTCATTTTCTCTCAGTTGAGTTGAATTAATTTCAGAGAAAATGATAGCATGATAGCCTAATGACTGATGTTATTTCTCAAGTCTTGACTTGTCCAGTTACAGACCTAAACCTGTCCTTTTCTACTTGCAATTAAGTTTTTCTTACGAGTTATATGTAGCAATTTCAGGCATCTTAATTATCAGTGCAATAATTGGGAGGTTTCCATGTTTTATGGTTCAAGTCAGTGCCAGTTTCATTGCTTTCAGCTAAGTAATAAGTTCTCTTAAAAGAGAAAATGTTCACTGGGCAGCCGCCTTTAACTATTCAAGAGCCAGGATGCTCTATCAGAGGGCAATTCCAGGACTGGCCACTAGTGGTGTCATCCTGACAAAGGGGGGGTCTTTTCCTCATTTCTGTGACTAAAATGTTTGAGTTAGATAAGACAGAGTATTAATCAGGAATTGTTTGGTTGCAAGAATAGAAAGAAACCCTTCTTGAAATAGGTTAGGTTGAGAATTTTTCTTTAAAAAAAAAAAAGAATATATTAGTTTGTGTAAATGGGGACCCATAGTAGTAGATTGTCTTCAAGTAAGACTGGATCCAGGGCCTAAAGCTGTCAAGTTTCTCTTCCCAACTCTTTAGGTTGTTTCCTTCTCTGTATTGGCTTTACTACTATCAGAAGCCTCAAGTCTGCATCTTTGAATTCTGGAATCCCAGAGCAAGAGAGATAAACCCTCCTCCATCCGATTCCCATATGCCCAACTCAGGGAAGCCTCCTGGCCTGTGCCCTGAGCCAGTCACAGTGGCCTGAGCAATGCCTTGGCCACAGCATATCTACCTGGGTGGAGGACGATGAGGCATCCTAAGAAATGCCTGGCCAGGATCACAGGCTCATGGCATTCAAAAAGAAAAACTGAAGAAGAAGGAAGAGACGCTAAGTTAGCAAAGACACTCAAGTCCACTCTAAACACCACCCCACAAAACCTAAGCAATAAAAGTGAAAACAGAGCCTTGACAGCCTGTGGTTCTTTTGAGAGGGCACAGAATGTCTTACTTGTCGTTGGCATGTCAGCAGTGGTCCTCCCTGCGGGGCCTCTGGATTGCAGCAGAGAAGCCTCCCTGGGGCTTGACCCAGCCGAGGCCTGAGTAAAATGACTGTGGAAGGCACACACTTCGCTTCTGAGGCTCATTTAGAGTCATCTGCCCATTGACTTGAACTGGTTCCAATTAAAGGAGTTTGGCTCAGTAATCGTCAGGTTTCAGTCAGATCAGAAAATAAACCATGAGAAAGATTTGGGCATTCCAGTCCCACCTGAAAGTAGGAAGTACAGAGATTTTGAAAACTCCACATAAATTTGAAGGCATGACTGAGAGAGACACTGAAAGAGGATGCGAGTGTTGATGGCAGCTGAACAGTGAGTCACTGTCCCACACAGAGGCGGGCTGCCCACCTCACCCCACCAGCCCTGCCTTCCCTGGCTGGTCCCTGTGTGCCCCCATTCCTACAGCACTGTCTCAGAAGTCTGTTTAAGGTGCCATCTCCACATCTTCCCACCCACCACACCTATAGGTTATGTCTTGGTGAACATGTCTTTGATAATACAAACAATAAAAATGCTTAAATTAGACAGATGTCTGATTAAAGTGATGTTTTGCTACTCTTTTAAAACCACAGTGATATGAGTGACTAGACTTCTCCCTTCCCTGATTTATAGCAAGTCTGCTCAGCACATCAAAAATCCCCTTAATCTTTAGATCTTTAAGTAAAAGTGTGGGGGAGAAAATAGATCCAGTAAAGCCTACACAAGGAAGCTTCAAGAAAAAGGAAAAAAAAAAAGAAAGAAAGCAAGAAAAAGCCTCCACTTCTCATATATATTTGAGGAAAACTTGATACTTTCACTTTATATGACTATATCAGAATTCCAGTGTAGCTCAGAAAAAATGTCATGATTTTTTTTTCCCCTTCACTTTATGACTTAACCACCAAAAGGTTTAGTTTCCAGGTGGCCATTAGATACCACAAACAAAGCCACAGTTAATCAAACTATCAGTTTACAAAATATGTAGAAAACTCAATGAGAGAGTTGCTATAGGATTTCTGATATTAATACTCCCCCACCACCATTCTACATGTATTGACTACTGTTTGCCAGTGTTCATCTGTGAATAGTCTTCTTTAAAGTTTTCCTTCCACACATGCAATGAGTTGTGAGGTGGTGTATTCTTTCACTCACACTGACCACACTCTGAGGTGGGCATCACTAATATCGTAACTTTTAGAGATAAAAAGACAAAGGCTCAGAGGGGTTATGGATCTTGCTAAGTCACACAGTAAGAAAGATGTGGAGTTGGGCTCCTGTTGGGTCTGGTGTTCATTTCTACCCTCCAGAACTGTGTCCCTGGCCTTAAATCCCAGCCTCTGGGTCAGTCTTTCATTTGCCCGCTTTCTCTATTTCTCCCTCACTAGGACCACCAAACTAATCAGACCCAATCTTCTTTGCTTCCAGCAGTTGTGTTTCAGCAAAGAAGCAAAGATGCTTTTCTTGGGCTTCCGACACTCTCCCCTGGGCCAGGGTGTGGTGAAATTCTCTCCCCAGCTTGGGTGGCAGGACAGGCTGCCACATGGTGTGTTGGCTGCTCCAGCCCAGGCAGTGTGCATTGAGGGCTTGTGTGGGAAGGTTCAGGAAGCTTCACAAACAAGGAACCAGGATCTCCAACAGGCTTTCAGTCCTGGCTGTGTTTCAGATCTGAGAAATGTTTTGGTAAATCTGCTTTTATGTTAAAGATAAAACAAAACCCTAGGGTTTTCCTGGAAAATCGTTCAATGCAATTCTATTGATACTCAGAACCTGGGCTTGCTCTGGAGGAAGGAGTATAAGGGAACATGGAATTCAACGTTTAATTAGGAAATGTGTTAAGAAAGGTTATTATGGAATAAATTCATATTGTGATTCACTTTTTTCTTAAATCTAGCCATAACCCAATCTGTCCCAATTCAGCCCCTGTAACAGTTATTTCTAAGGCTGAGCCCTGGGAAGTCACGTGTGTTATGCTCTACTCCAGCTTGCCTGGGCCCAATGGCAGGGACCCCAGAACCCGAAGGTGCTGACAAGGATGACTTGCTGCTGCTGAACGAGATCTTCAATGCATCCTCCCTGGAAGAAGGCGAGTTCAGCCAGGAGTGGGCCGCTGTGTTTGGAGACAATAGGCTGAAGGACCCAGCACCATCGGGGTCCCTGGGAGAGCCAGACTCCAAGCCTCAGACAGGCTCTGGATTCCTTCCTTCACAGCTTTTAGACCAAAATATGAAAGACTTACAGGCCTCCCTACAAGGTATGTACCACTATAATTGAAATTAGTTTTTTACTTGTTCATTCTTTGCTTTCTCCTTTTAATCCAAAGGCATATTCATTCTTTCTTTGAATTTGCTGTGCGGGCATATTTTCTGCTTTGTTTTTTTTTTTTTTTTTTTAATTTTATATCCAGTGTCTTGTCTTTGTTTTGTTTTTAGTTTTTGTATTTTAATTTTATATCTACCGACATTTTTTTTTAAATCTGAAGTTCCTAAATTACATTCCAACCTTAAGATCTGTTACAAGGTTTAAGATCCATTTCTGCTCATGATTTTCTCCTACGTTAACATGTCTTATTAGGAAAATATTAGAGGGTCCGTTCTCTATCTTCTTGTCATACTTGGATTTAAGGGTTTTTTTTTTGTGTGTGTGGCACATAGGAGAGGATGTGGCCGTCTGTTGTCTTGGCCTATTCTGCCTGGCCACCAGCCTGAGTTTAATGTGTATTCATGAGGCAGATGTGTTAGTCAGCTAACCTCTCTGTGACCAAAATACCTAGAGTGAGTGACTTAAAGGAATAAAAATTTATTTTGGCTCATGGTCTCAGCCCCTGGTTGGCTGGTTCCTTTGCTTTGGGCCTGGGGCAAGGCAAAACACCCTGGTGGAAGGATGTGGCGCAGAGCAAAGCTGGGGAAGCAGAGAGAGTGAGAAGAGACTGGGAAAGATGTAGGAGTGGGCATGTCCCTCAAGGACCCACTCCTACCATTAGGTCCCACCTCCTTCAGCTCCCAGTAAGGACTTCAAATTATAAATCCACTCGTGAGATCATAGTCCTTGGTTCATTCTCTTCCCTGCTGCACTGGGGACAGAACCTTCAACAGGTTGTCCGAGCCTTTGTGAGATCTTCCAGATCTGCACCATAACAGCAGAATTCCCCACTTTCCCCTAAACATGCCCTTTTTGGGGGTGTGCTGATTGACATTTTGCTGGGCCTTTTAACTTCTTGTCCATCTAAGTTTTGTCCCCTGCTGGCTCTTGCTCTCTTCTCTGTCATAAGCCTCCCCTGTCCTCAGTACTCCCTCAGCCCAGCTGCTCCGATTTTGCCTGAGATACATGGACAATGAATTTCCACCCACAGCTTCAGCAAAAATAAGAGTTCCCACGGTGATCAAAAGTAGTCTGCAACCCTGGAAGGGTTCAAGGTGTGTGAAGGCTCCCTAGCAGGCTATGTGCTGGCTGAGGATGGCTGGCATGTCCTCACAGTGATTTAAAGTTACAAACACAAAAACTCTGATGGAAATCTTAAAGCTTTGCGTTTCTAAATAGACCTTGAAAAGGAAATCATTTTCAATATTTTTTTCCTCTTTTTATATGATATTAATTATGAGACAGGAATTATCATGAAGAAATTCTCGAGTTGTTTTGGTTTTTCTACAAATTTAGACTATCTCCTTCATAAACAACGTGTTTATCTGGCGCTTAAAGCTGAGAACAAACGGCAGAGCTAGAATGATTAAGTAATTATGGTCTATTAAAATCTCAGGTCTTTAGAGATGAGATCATGGATACTAGAGTTGGTGGGCAAGACCAAAAAAAGAAAAAGGAAAGAAAGGGCTTCCCTCTTTTTGATGACATACCTGATTCCTTTTCTCGTCACTGGGGGGTCCTGTTTTATAGCCCTCTCATTGATGAGTGGTAATGGGGATAGAGATCACAGGGATAAATGAAATCCCAAAGTGCTTCTCCACCTGAGTTTCATCCCTGGGTTTTCACCATCTCTCACTAAAGCTCCAGAGAGCAAGCTGCCAACTGACTTGGTTTCACCCCCACCCACCTGTGGCAGAGGTGCTAACAGGCGTGGGAGAGTCAGAAGGCCAGAGCCCAGGATCCTCAGCCCGTATCTTTGGGGTGCTGGAAATTCTCTAGCTGTGTTGCAGAATGAACCTCACTTAGGCCCCCAGCTTTAGGGCCCCAGATACAAGAGCCCCAGTGCAGAAGAGAGCGGTGGTGGATGAGTGTCCAATGCTGTGAGCCCCACACCCCCTTCCTGAGCAGGCACAGAGAAAAGAACTCAGCTCACAACCCGCCAAGGAGCTAAGACAAGGGCAGTCTTGGCTTAAGACATGGGGGTTGGCTTTGCACCTCAACCTGGCTGCAGGTCCAAAAGAGAGCCAGCAAATCACCCGTGGGGCAAAAGAGGGAGGTGCTCTGACAGCAAGAGAAAGATGCGAGCTCTTCTAAAATGAAGAGAAAGAGGTTCTACGTGGAAGGCCATTTGTTTCTCCAACAAAGCCTCATTTGTGGTTGCTATCCTACCAGCACCCTAGCAAGTGGCTTATTCATTAACAAATATTTATTGGGTACCTGGGTGTGCTGGACACTGGGGACTCATCTGAGAACAAAACAGACAAAGCTCTCTGCCTTCCTGGCACTCACGGTCTCCTGAGGAGGAAAATAGTGAACAATAAACGTAATAAACAAACAAATCACATAGTTAAGAAGTGATCCACGTTAGGGAGAAAAGAGAAAGTGAAAGATGAGATCCAGACAGAGACTTGCAGGGGGTAAGAATTAGCCACATGGACAAATGGACAGAGGGGACATCTTGTACTCATGCCCTAAGGTGAGGACATGCTGCATGATCAAGGTGCAGGCAGAACACTCTGGTTGGAGCCTACTGAGTAAGTTGGGGGGAGGCGCTCAGAGGACTCGGAGGCTGAACCACGAAAGCTGAGCTGTGGAGGGTCTTGTAACTATTGGTAAATATTGGACCTTCTTCAAGTCCAAATGAAATTGGGAACCAGCACAATATCTTCAGCCAAGAACTGAAGTGATTTTTGTTTACTGTTTAAAAGGATCATTTTAACTGCTGAAAGTTTCCTTTTCTCGGTTCTATCAAGGTCAGCATTAAAGGAGTTATCTTATAATTACTGAGTGATCCTGTTTCCTCTGCAAACAAACATCTTCCCATTGAATACCTGTGGGACTCAAAATGAGAGAAAAAAAAAATTCCATAGCTAAGTGGTTGAAAGCAGCCCCTTCAGCTTCTACCACCCATCTAGATTCCTGCAGGTGCAGCCCTGATTCTACTCTGACACTGCCCTGATGCAGGGAACCTTCAAAACGTGTGTGGTACAAATAAAGAAGGGGCTCCCTGCTTCAGTGATTGATTATGTCATCAGACTATAACCACGTTCTGTGCTTCTGTCAGGACTCCTCCCACCTCCAAAGAGGGAAGATGAATGTTGTCTTGAGATTTTTCTACACTATGTTCATGGTCCAAAAATCCATCTACAGGAACATATGAACAGTCACATATATAACAATTTAATGATAACTATTAAACTGTGGCCACCTTATATTGAAACTGCTTCCCCTGATTAACCAGATCATCTCAAAAACCAAAGTCAATAAACCCCTGAAATGACTCAGTGGCAAACTGAGCACGGGAGAAAGGCTTGTTGGCATATTGGTTCAGTGAAACCAAGAATATGGCAGGGCATTCAGAGGCCAGTTTCATACTGCACAGCCCCTCCCCTGCAGCACTGCTCAGGCCCCTACCGCTCTCCGAGTCCTTCCCTTCTCATCTGTAAAAGGAGGTATCAGG